CAAGTGGATTTTTCCGGGGGGGGGGGGGGGGTGTTCGGAGGCAACTTCAGGGGAAACTGACGTTACAACTCTTTACAGTTTGCGGTTGAGAATAAAAAATAATAGAATTTAAAAATAAATCATCACTATGTCTGCGATTTTTCAGATCATCTTGAATTATTAAAAATGAGAAATAAAATTAAAACCTTTAAATGTTTCAACAATGCGATAACGCAACCGAATAGATTATCCCCAGGATTTTTTCCCCAAAAAAATCCAATTGCCTCGAATTTATTAAATTCTTATTCACGCATTTATTCGACTTATTAATTATCCTTTTGCTTTAATCATCTGAAAACTCATGATTCTTGACATCCAAGTCGTCTTAAAAAATTCAAAAACCGGAAATGGAGAATCCCGGACACTTCCCCCAAACCCCGCGGGAAATTCGAATGACTCACTTTGACGTCTCGCAGACGTATGACCCCGCGAGATTGTTTTGACGTTCGTGATGCTACGTCAGTCGAAGGTTTTCGTTGAATTAATGGAGATGAAGATCAACTGACGAGTTGGAGGGAGAGGGCTGTCAGCATGGGATTATGGAGCGCCAGGAAATACGTGGACCACGTTAAATCCGTGTCTGCGTGCGTTGTTTTCATCGGGTAGGTATTCTTAACCTCCAAACAATCCGTTGAATCCAATTAAATTAAAATCCCCTCGGGATTATCTCACGCGATGCTATTCCAGGGGATGCTGGTTCATGTACCAACTCCGGGAAATATCCGAGATGCTGAGGTCCACGGTGGCCACGAATGTCCTGACATTGGAGCAGAAACAGGCGCAGTATATCTACCTCGACGATCCAAAGTTCAAAGGTTGTCGCATCGCAATGTCCTTTTAATTTTTTCATTCTTCATTCAATTCAATTGCATAATCGTGATTTTGGGGATCTCTTTGGTCCGCAGATCTGTTTGTTCACACGAATGAGAATGATCTTCAGTCATCGATCAGCGAAAAGCCTAGGACATTTTCAAAGGTTATTACGAAATGGTGGAAATCGTTGAACAGGAGTTTGGCTTTTAGACTCGTACATATTGCCAAGAATGGGCTTAAGGAGGAAAGATCGAGGGCTATTTATACTTTGGGATCTCTCAAACATTTGAAAGGTATTATTGAGTATTTTTGGCGAGGGGGAGAGGAGTTGAGACTATTTTATTTACTAGAAATGAGACAATTTTCCTTTTTAACGTTTTTGACAAATACTACGATTTGTCAATGGCTTTTTTTGTAAAGCAAGAAAAGAATTTAAATTATTTAATTAGAATTAAGATCATTGAATTTTTAATGTGTCGAGGATAAATGATACTATTTCTTTGAATTCGTTTGGATGATTTCAGACCAAATTCATTGAATTTCCCTTCGGCAATGTCCACTCACTCTTAATTAAACACGAGCATAATTTTCCTTTTTACTTCAGCACTGAAAGTGCAAATTCTCTCTAATCACAATTTTCTGTATCACATTATAGACTGGCATTATCAGCAATTAGCGCAGATGCTGGACGCAAAGACCGCAGTGGGTCTCGCTAGAATAGCTGATTCAGATCTCAGGTTCTTCCTGAAGCCCCCCTACTCTCACATCAGAAAAAAGCTTTACGAAATCATCGATGAACTCCATCAGCTCCTGCAGGATATGGATAAGCTCTGTGAGAATCATCACACGTGTTTGACAAGATTTTTAAAGAAATCTTTTCAAGAATTTCATCGCGTGAGTTCATTAACTAATTATTCTCCCTTAATCAAATCATTAATTTATTATTTACTCGACAATTTATTTTCATTCTGATGAATTTAATTCAGGATGAACTAGTGCTAGACCACGATTTATCGAGCGTTGGAATCGCCACGGGTTCAGGCGCCTCCTGGGACCAACAGCTCCTCCAGAACTGCATCCAGGCGATATACCATCACTCCTCGATAGAGCAATTCAGTCGAGCTATTGCTGTGGCAGGGGGTCTGCCAGTTCTGATGGAGGTGCAGCAGCGATTCTCCAACGACATCGACCTGTCGATTCTCCTCGCAAAGATCATCTCGAATTTGTCCCTGCACAGCGAGTACCTCGATGACATCTACAGGTCAGGGTGGATTGGGGTGCTCGCCTCCTGGGCGAGACACGAGGACGTGAGGGTCGCAGCCCCTGCCGCAAGGGCACTGGCTAATTTGGACGTCGACTTTCATGGTGATGAGAAGTTTCATAAGAGAATTTATCTGCTACATCCCATGCATCGAGTCTCCACTAAACCTGAATTGGATGCTATTTTTATTCATGGGCTGCTCGGGGGAATTTTTGTCTCTTGGAGGCAACGAAATGCTGATTTCGATGCAACAAATGTTGGTGAGAATGGAAAATTAGGGGATTTAGGGGGTGGTTTATTGAATTTTAATCGGAATTTTATTAGGGGAGAGTGGGGTACAATGGACACTAGATTTTTTTGAAATTATTCATAACTCAGAAACTAATTTAGCAATTGAGCGCAGCTCAGGCTCACGACAAAGGGAAAGAATTGTTCTTTGTATTGAAAAACAAATCTTTAAATTTTATCATTTCAACCCCTCATTAACATTTTTTAAAAAAGTCAAATGTGTCCGTTTTACCCCAACGTCCCCTATAATTTTTTTGGAGCTTCATTGAAATTCGGATTGATTGGTTATTCTATAGATGTTTGTTGTTCTGCGTGACTTATTCCGTTCAATTTTGTTCGTTATGACATAATCCAAAATGAAGAATTTAGAAAATTAATTTTTAAAAAATCATAATCAAAAATTCTTAAGGAAATTCTTATAAAAATCGCAATGAAATAAGCTGTACAGAACAATCCACATCTATTTGTATTCATGAGTTATTGGAAATAATTTTTCATGGAAACAACGAAATATTCATTTTAATGCGAAAATGTTGATCTAAAATATTTATTTTCCCATTGAATTTTAATTGGAATTCTGTTACAGTTTTATTACATGATACATTCCCTTGAGTTTTCTTCTATAGAACGTTCTTTGACCTAAACTTCTCAAGTTTTTTGTTTTGTTCCTCATTACACGCAAAATAAAAACCTCAAAAAAATGTATCCCCATTTTTCTAAAAATCTTAACAAAATGAGTTGTTTAGAAAAATCAACACTTATTTCCACTCAAAATTCTGAAAAAAATATAGAATCCAAGTTTTCTATTCACTTTTGTCATGCCCCAATTAACCAACCAATCACCATTAATTTATCATTAATTAATGTCTGCATTAACAACCATTTCCCCTCACATTCCAGAAAATTCACAAATGGCATTCGAGACTGAAACCCTAAATCTCGCAATTGGCGATCAGCCCAACGAATTCATAAAGGATCTCGCCCACGACATGCAATTACGCGAATGGAAACAAATTAGTCAGGATTACGAAATTGTTCTCGACGATTGTCCAGTGTCTATGAACTCCCGTGCCTGTGGCCCCTTCACCTGCAAGGAGTGAGAAACCACGGAAAAAATTAAACTACCAGATTAATTGCGATTAAATCTGCAAATTGGTAATGGCGAAAAAAACATTTCAGGGACGACTACTGCGTGGAGCAGAGAGAGCTGGACCTCCAGACGAGGACAGAGTGCTGGCCGAAAGACTGGTTACCAGAAGACTTACCTCACATTCGAGTCATTGGAATTAATTACGATACTAATTTGTCTCTGTGGAGCTTGCCCTGTCCAATCGAAAGTATGAGGTGAATGCGAAAGCAAATCAAACAGAAAATTAATTCATAAAAGAATTGAGATGTTGAATGGAGCTGGAGAGCGAGTGACATTTAGTTCTTAAAAGTCTGAATGTTTACTATTCTGAACAGGAGCACATTAGACGAGAGGAGTAACGAGTTTACGAAGAAATTGCTGGCTGCAGGCGTTGGAAAACGCCCTGTTGTCTGGATCTGTCACTCCATGGGCGGATTATTAGTCAAACGAATGCTCGTGGAGGAGTGGAAGAAAGGGGATCCCCATGAATTATGCAAACAGACAAAGGCCATATTTTTTTACAGCACTCCACATCGAGGCTCGCACATTGCTGCACTCAAACGAACGACGCAGATGCTCGTTTGGCCTTCAATTGAGGTGCAGGAGCTGAGAGAAGGTGATACATTATTACATTAATTTAATCACTCGTCTGGAATTCCATACTTTCAACTTGGGATTGGAATTCCTGAATGATAATTGAGTGATGAAATGTTATAATTCAGGCAGAATAATGATTGAGTGGAGGCGTCACTGCTGGGAAACATCTTGGAATTTAAGGGAGATTGGATTTTCTATGAAAAAAAATGTTTTTACAGAAATTTCAGACTTCGTCCCTCAATTATTATTTAATATAATTTCCCGGAATCCCCAAAACTGTTATTTTTGGGGAATTTATGCCTTTCGATTTCTTCATTTTGATTTTTATTCAAATTGACAAATAGTCAATAGATTTCGATTGCTCTCACGACTCATTTCGTTCGCTTCCTTCCTACAGACAATTCTTTGACCCAAACTTTCCAAGTTTTTTTACTATCTTCCGCATTTATTCCAGGGGAATATCTTGAAATTGAAGGAAAATCACTAAATTCCCACAAAAAATCCACTATTTTTCGCACTTCATCCCTAAAAAATAATTGTGGAAAAATAATTTTTGCAGAGTCCCCAAAACTGCTAAAACTGCACGAAGATTTTCTGAAGATGCTAGAAGAGTCCGAAATCGAGATAGTGAGTTTCAGTGAGACAAAACCCACGCCTGTGACAGCCCTGAAATTTCCCCTGCAATTTGTGACGCCAAAGTCAGCAGATCCTGGTGTTGGGGAATTCTACGAGATCCCCCAGGACCACCTGTACATCTGCAAGCCAGCGCACAGACAATCATTTTTATACCGCAAAGTGTTGAGTGTTCTGGAGGCATATGTCTCCAAGAGTTGATGGCTAAACTGCGCAAGTTCATGGGACAAAGGGTGCAGGGGGAGGGACTGGTACTGTAAGTAATTTATGAACAAGATCATTATTTTTAAACAGTGTTTTTAATAAATTTAGTCTTGTTCTGTCAGAAATTCGTGTCGTAGTCGGGGGGATGTCGGGAGTAGGCACTGCTCTCGTATCCCTGAAATTTGCTGCTCGAGTGGGAGGGCTGGTAGTAGTAGCCGTTCCATTCAGATCTCCAACTGTCGTAGACGTTGTATTTCTTCTCGTCCTGCAGCATTCCGTCGACCAAAATCTGATGAAATAGAAATTTAATTAAATTTTTTATTTCGGATTTTAGTAGAATAGAGAAAAGGGAATACATTAAGGATATCCAAGTACTTTGGCTATTTTTTCCCCAGGGAAATGCTTTTCCACTTTTAGAGCCAAAATACCATTTTACTGTGATTTCGTTATTTAAACTTTGGAGGTCTGAATTTGAATCTCGATATTAAACCGTTAGAAAACATTTTAAAAAACTGAAAGCAAAATTAGAATGTTTATTTTTGGAGGAGGATTGATAAAATAATTAAAAAAATTCAATTTTTTAAAATTACGTGTATTTTCTATAAATAATTTATGAACAGTAAATTTTCCAACATGAAAATCATTTCTAAAAAATGAGGTTTTCGAAAGTTTGAACAACTTCAATTATTTATTTATAAAAAACAAATGTTTAAAAAAATAATTTTGGGCAAAATGCTGAATATTCATGATTTTTTTTTCAATTTTTTTGACAATTAAATTGATAAATTTGATGAGTGAAAAAATAATATTGAAATATTTGAAAAAAAAACTATAGTGTGGTCCGTACCAAACTAAAAGACACTTGAATATCCTTAATGGGGCTCAAATAATCCCTTGAAATTCTATTTTATCAACTAAAAAAATTCTGTAAAAGGAAAGTGGGATGAATTTATCTCATCCTCAACCCAGGGTTTTACCTTATTTGAGTTAGACTCGAATGATTTTTCTCTCCACGCGTCAGTCTCGTTCCATATGGTAGAAATTTCTGATTTGGGGTAGTCCTGGGATGACCTGTGGGAAGTTGCTGCTTGACTCGCGTGAATGATGTTCTTGGCAGCCTCTTCAGTGTACATTCCTGACACCGAAGGCCTCAGCTTCGTCGCATTCTGGCGGTTCACGAGCTGATGATCAATGCAGAATTAAATTAATCATTTCAACAGTGAAGTGGTAGCAAACTGATTTCACACGTCCTGTTAAATGTCAGATTATCTCGTTAAGGACTGGTTCCAGATAAAAATGTCATAAGACATGTTTTGCTGGAAATTTAATTCTCTGAAAAAAATATCTATTGACATTTTTTCCTAAAGCCCCTCGTTTTCGAGATAAATCAACATTCACCAAACGAAAAATACTCAAACCTGCTTTTTCGTCGTTTTAACTTTACAATCTCCAAGATCGAGCCGTAAAAACGTACCACAGAAACCCCGAAGATGATGATGAACACGAGCCCCCCGACCCCAATGACGATGATGGCAATGGCCCACTGGGGTATCAGCCTGTCGTCCTTCTCGACATGCTGTGGCAAATTAACTTTAGGAATAACAACGAAATCCGTGGATTTGGGGTCGATGAGGAAGTCCCCGAGCCTCAGTGGCGCCCGCGTGGTCCTCGTTTCGTTCCACTTGTGCGCGTTGTAGGTCCTCAGAGAGTCGTGGAACAGAACGCGCAGCTCCTGAGTGTTGATTCGTTGGGTGAGATCCTGGAGCTCGACGAAGTAGTCGACTAAAATGCTACCGGGGCTGAAGGCATCGATCCGCACGTTCTTGTACCATTTTCGGAGGATTGCTGACTTGATGTAGACGAGGTTGATCTGGGGAGATTAAGGAGGGCATGATTTTAGCGGAATAAACATGATTATTCCTTCGAAACTGAAGCCATTCATCAAGTTATTCGATTTAAACAATTTTATTTTTTGTTATGAATGGAAATTTATTACTAATAACTCCTGGTTAACTCTATTAATTGATAATATTGATTGTTAATGAATTAATAATTTCATTAATCGATAATTGTGATGATAATCAAATTGATTGATTGATTAATTAATGGAGAATTCCTTCGAAACCGAAGCTATTTATCAAGTTATTCGATTTAAACAATTTGATTTTTTGTTATCAATGGAAATTTATTACTAATAACTAACTCCTGGTTAACTCTATTAATTAATAATATTGATTGTTAATGAATTAATAATTTCATTAATCGATAATTGTGATGATAATCAAATTGATTGATTGATTAATTAATGGAGAATTCCTTCGAAACCGAAGCTATTTATCAAGTTATTCGATTTAAACAATTTTATTTTTTGTTATGAATGAAAATTAGTTACTAATATTTTTTTCAACTCCATTAATTAATAGAATTTATTGTTAATTCATGGGAAATTCTATCGAGACTGAGGAAATTCATCGAGTTATAGATTTTAAAAGAATTGGATTTTTCACAATTAGAGTTCAATGAAAATTCACAATAATATTGATTGTCAATAATTAATACCATTGTTATTAATGAATTAGGAATAATCTTATTAGATAGATAGATTATTAATTAATTAATTAATTAATTAATTCTTCGGCAATAATTCATTAATAACATAAGTATTAATTATTGACAAATAATTAATTAATAATCCTATTGATTGATTAACGAGCTAATTAATGGGATCCCTTAATAATACCTCTTTCTCAACGACATTCGCCAACTCCTGCCACTCTCGAGTATTTCTATCAAACAATTCCGGCACCCAAGTGGTATTTCCAATAATCCTTATGGTCCCCGCGACTTCGCACTCCTCCGTGCAGTACCCAGGGGTTGTGGGTCGCACCGTCGTGGTAGTGGTCGTTGTTGAGGGCGTCGTCGACGCTTCGCTGGTGATCGGAATCATTGAACTGTTCACGGAGCTCACAGTCGCGGTTCGGGCCGCCTCCAAGAGCTTCTCGATGGAGATCGGAGTCGTTGAAGGTGTTGGCCATCCAGTGAATTCAGTGGTAGCCCTGTATAATTAAATTAAAAATAAAATTACGGATATGTACACTAAGATGAGTCTCGAGTAGGGAAAATTCTTTAGTGTCGTTTCAGTCATTATTGGAGATCATTAATAAAATAGTTAAGAATTTGAATATTAAAATTGATAGTTACTTAAATAATAAAAAATTTAAGTCTGATATTAACTAAATGACGGCTTGAAAATTAAACAGTAATTATGATTTATGAATATGGCCCTGTTTATATTTTCACGGGGGGAGGGGAGGAGGGATTGTCAAAATATGAAGGCTTCGAGGTGAAATCTTAATGACTAATTAAGCTGTCAACTCACCTCGTGGGCCATCCCTTCTGAATTTTCGGTGTAATCGCCGTAGGAGCATCATTACCCCGACTCGTCGGGGTGACCGCCTTCTGCACAGCCTTTCGCCCCCCAGGTCTGCTCGGAAACACGAGTTTCACCCCTCCGGGGGCCTTGCTGGGGGCCCCAGCAGTGGTGCTCCCCTCAGTCGTAGTTACCACTGTCCTCGTGGCATTATCTCCCCCTCGATCTTCGTACCCCGCAGGCAATAGCGATGAGATGTCCGAACTGGATTTCGAGAAGAGCTCCTGCAGAGTCTTCTGAATCGGCGAGGCGGTAGTCGTGCTCGTGGACTTCCTCTCCTCCCCCTTCGTTGGTTTGTTGTACCCCGGGGGGAGGAAGGCGCTGATGTCCACGCTGGACTTGCTGAAGAGATCCTGAATGGACTCCTTCGGGGCGCTCGTTGTCTCCTCGCGACTGACTTCTGTTGGCGCGTAATTAGCTGGCAACAGCGAGGAGATGTTGACCTTCGAGCGAGCCAGGATGTCGCTGATTATGGATTTCTCAGTCGTTGCGTCTTCTTTCTTCAGTTTGAATCCTGGGGGTAGGAAGGCACTTATGTCCGGCATCTCCGGTCTGAGCCGGGGAGTGACGCCTTTTGGGGGCGGTCGACTAGGCTCTGCTGGTGAACTTTTACTCCTGCTGGACGATGGCCACTTGAATGCACCTGTTTCAACGTTATTTTTCCTTATTTTGTTAGTCAGTTTTTATTGTGGAAGGGAATTCTTCACTGAGTTCAATTCTTTCTAACTCACTTATTCACACATTTCTCGAAGAGAGAAAATGTATTTTTGCCAGATATCCATTTATTTGAGAGAAATATTCATTTTTTCAATTCCGTAGTTCTCCAGTAGAGTCATTAACGGGCAATTCTCATTAGGTTTCAATTGTGAGAATTATATTGCTCTAGGAGATGATTATTTTTGTTATGATCTTGAGTGAATTGCCTCAGTAATTATTCACATTAAAAGATTAATCGAAATATTATCTTAAAATTGCATTAGAAATATTATATTAAATGAATTATCATTCACAATACTGAACAGAGGACTGGGCACAAACGCAACTCTCATGTTTCTATTGACGTTAACTTCCAATCAAAAATTTACTTCAGGTTTTACCTTCAATTTTTCTTCACCTCAGAAGAATTTCTCCTGGGGTTTCAACGTTATTTTTGCGTTATTTTATTGTTCAGTTTTTATTGTGGAAGGGAATTCTTCACTGGGTTCAATTCTTTCTAACTCACTTATTCACACATTTGTCGAAGGGAGAATACACTGAGAGAAGATATATTTTTGTCAGATATCCATTTATTTGAGAGAAATATTCATTTTTTCAATTCCGTAGTTCTCCAGTAGAGTCATTAACGGGCAATTCTCATTAGGTTTCAATTGTGAGAATTATATTGCTCTAGGAGATGATTATTTTTGTTATGATCTTGAGTGAATTGCCTCAGTAATTATCCACATTAAAAAATTAATCGAAATGTTATCTTAAAATTGTATTAGAAATATTATATTAAATGAATTATCATTCACAATACTGAACAGAGGACTGGGCACAAACGCAACTCTCATGTTTCTATTGACATTAACTTCCAGTCAAAAATTTCTTTCAAATTTTATCTATCCTTCAATTTGTATTCGCCTCAGAAGAATTTTTCCTGGGGTTTAAATTAATAATCGGTGTTTATCGAATTGAGAATAGCATCACGAGCGGAAAGAATTCAGATAAATCCACCGAATTCGATAGAAAATTCAATCGGGCTTTTATAAAAAAATCTATTAGTTTTTGGCTGAAAATTCCAGAGGAGAATGTCTGAAAAATAAATTTGGGACTGCAAATGAATGGAATGAATGAAAATGATGGAATGCACGTGAGAGAATCACAAATTCGTAAAAATATCTGTTCTTTTGCGTCACCTTTCGGTCTGGCGGCTGGAACCGACGCCTGCGTCACCTCCGCCTCGTCACCCTCGGAGACTTCGATGCTCTCAGTCGATGTTGTCGGTGACTTCCGCTCATTGTACCTCTTCGGCACGAATTTACTGATCACCGGGGGTTTCCCAGTGGTCGTGAAGGTCTTCCGCGGCGCCGTGGGCCTCTGCTCACTCAGGACGTCCAGCTGGAGAGCGTTCCCCGCGTTCCTGAAGCCCCCGGTGAGGAAACCACTCGATAACTCAGACTGCACGCGATCGAGCTTGTCGATTATCGATTCCGTTGACTCGATGGACTTCCGGGTGCCTTCGTTCGTCGTGTTCAGGGGCTTCTGGGGCTCCCCGTTGAGGTCGAACGGGAGAAAGCGAGCCCCTGATTTTAAAGCAAAGACTTCAATTTGTTTGAAAAATTAATTATTTCAAAACTATTGATTGGAAATTAAAAAATTCAGGCGCGACGCTGAAACCAAACGGGGTACCCGTCCGGAAGCCAATGATGTCAATAATCAGGACCGCGGAAGCCTCAAAACTAGGAAGAAACGATGGTTCGGATATAATTCAGTAGCGAAGTGGTAAAACTGTTTAAGTCGGTTTTGACTATTGGCCAGTGTTCAATAAATATCTCGGAATCTAAGGGAAATAGCGAAATTGTTGTCATTTCCTTTTTTGTAGCTCTCAATTTGCTCTACAAAAAAGGTTATGACAAAAATGTTGCTATTTCCCTTAGATTTTGAGATATTCATTGAAAACTGGGCAATAGTCAAAATCAACTTATACCGGTTTACCACTTCAACACTGAATTGTTTCCCGCTCTTCCCTAAATTTTAAAAACAATAATAATAATAAAATGTATTAATTATAAAACTGAAAAATCAATTATTTGAAATAATAATAATTCTTTTCAGTAAAATATAATGATAGCTTTTATTTTATTTCATTTTTTTAATTTTTCGCGTCGGTTCGCGGGAGGGAAATGCGCATTTTGCACCCGCGGAGTCGAAAATAGAATTGAATAAGTGGTAATTGACTCGAAAGTAACTAATTTGGCATTCCCACCTGAGATGCTCCGGCTCGTCTGAACCGATGCGACTATTATCGAGTCCTCGGTTGTTGGGGCCTCCGGGGGTCGAGAACTCGTGGATTCCAGCAGTGGTGCGTCCATCTGCTCCGTCGTCATCGGGGCGGGCGTGGGGATTGATATCGTACCGTTGACGACGCTCTTCGTCGTTACCACTGAAACGATCGCCTCGCCGATGAGAATTCTCTCATCACTGTTGGGCATTTCACTCTCGGTTTCTTCACTTTCGACTCGAGGATTTATTGTGTGGGATGAATTACGGTCCGGAGGTGGGTTTACACTGCTTGATTCATTGACGGATGTGTAATCTGGGTATTCTGGGGGAGAGGGGTAATGAGGTTTCAATTTTTTTAAGCGAAGTTTCTCAGGGATAGCTCGGGATTCAAGGGAAATATCTACTCTTCTCACTTCTTTTCCTGACTTCAATGTTTTCCTCTGAACACAATTTTTTTTAATCATTTTCTAGATTTTCGCTCACTTTTTTATTTATTTTGATCTGTTTCCCATTTTTTATTTTGAAAAAAAAATTCCTGCCCAAAGGAAATTATTAGAATGTGTGTTACATGATGAGGAAAATTTTTTTTTTTCTAGATTCAGAAACATTCATCGACAACAGTCGTGACAAGAAAACGTATCGAAAAAATTAGTTTTAGAAAAATATTTAAATAGTTGCATGAGAATTATGAAAAAAGAGTCCTACGAATTTCCATTCCATTAATTTTACAAATTTAATTGGAATTTACAATCAAACAAAAAAACGGGACCTCAATTTTCCTCAAAATTTAATTCTCAATAAATGCCCCAAAATAGAGAGAAAATCTAATTAAAAAAAAATATTTTTCTCGATTGAAAACTATTTCCTGTTGCCCTAAATCTACAAAATTTTCTTATTATTTCCTAGATTTTTCACATTTCTCTAAATTTCCCTTTGTTATTTTCCCACATTTACGAAATCAATACAAAATTTTTCGTAAGATCTTGGAAAATTGTTAGATCTTCCTAAACCGTCATAAAAAACAAAACAGTTACTTTCCGAAGAATCTCCGAACATTCGAGTGAGAACTATAAGAAGATCCTCCCTGGAATGTTCATTCGCCTCGTTTTATCACTTTACTATTGAATCATAAAAAAAACTCCTTAATTACACGCTCCAGTCAAATTCCATACGATTATTTTGTTTTCGTGCCTCCTAATGTATTATAATTTCGATTTCACTATTAAAGAACCTGTTTTTCGAGCTCTCATCGAGAGCTAATCGACCGCACAAGGGTTTCCTGCTACGACCGGAAGCAGAGGTTTCTCGGCATATTTCTATCATCAATGATTTAATAACACATTCAAACCTAATTACATGTCCACACGAACACTCAAACGCTTTGAAAAACTATCCGACGCGAATGGCGTCGACTGATACCTTTCCAGTGGATCGTTACATATTTCGAATGTCGAAACAGTAATATCAGTAGCGAAGTGGTAAATCTTTTTTTTTTTAACTTCCCGACCCGAAGGGAGGAAGTTATTGTAATGACCCCGAAAATCGAATGTGGAAATTTAAGCATTTCTCCACGTTTTTTGTTAGGCCTCCGAACCCCTTCTGGGCTCACTCAGCTGCCAGTAAATATATTACAAGTTATCATCACATTATAGTAAAGTATATATAAATTGCAATAGCTTTTTAATGTTAATTATACTTTAATTAGTCGGTGTCTTAGTTAAACGTATTTTATATCTGAATATCGGAGCTTTTTAGGTATTTTGAAATCACTTTAATGTCCTTCCTTCTGGGGTGGGGCTTTTAGCATGTCTTGAATATTCGGTGGTCGGGGGGGAATATCTCGGAATCTGAGGAAGCAAAATTTTTTTTTGTTGTACTCTTTTTTGTAGAGCCGATTGAGAGCTACAATAAACGTAATTACGAAAATTTCGCCATCTCCCTTAGATTCGGAAATATTCCTCAAAAACTCAACTGGGAGATGAGTCGATTTAAAGTAGCTCTACCCTTCGGCCGAGCTACGCTGTATACTTTTGGATATTTTCAGTTTTTAAATTTTTCAACTAAATTGCATGAAAAAAATTTGAAAAAATTCATACCCAGTCAGTATTAACTAAATTAAATTTCGCAAAATATTGATATTTTTTCGAACATTTCCCTCTTATAAATAAATAATAAAACTTGTTTGCAAAACGGTGGATTATTTTTTAAGAGGTGTCAAAAAAATTCTTGATTTTTTCACATTAATGAAAAAAAAATCAGATTTTAATCTTTGATTACAATGGAAATGTTGATTTTTACATAAGACACTGGTTTAAATCCTGATTTTCAAACATTTCTTCTTTGAAAAACCAAAACGATAATTAAATTGAGAAAAAAATTAGAGTTCCGAATCTAATCGAGTTTCCTGCAATTTTTTTTGCAGTTTTCAATAATCTTTGAATTTACCGTAAGGGTAGAGCTATTTTAAACCGTTTTACCACTTCGCTGCTGATATGATTCAGTTTCCCGGGACTGAGAATCGGTCCAAGGTGATTTCGAAATTGTCCAATCATCGGACTGGGATGGGATATGGGATGTGAAAAATTTCGTGACGTATCAAGGCTCGGAGAAAAGCAACGTGAATCCTCACTCATTACCGAGGATGATGGTGAATCCGATATGACGTTAACCGGATTTACGCAATAATGAAAACTAAACCGTGGGATTCTTACCTGGGAGATGGGAATTCGTGGCGTTATCGTAGTCATCGTCGTAATAGTAATAGTAAGAGTAATCAGCGCTGTCCCTCGAGTTCTTCGCTTTTGTCTTGGAATCTTTGGGAAAGATAACGTTTTTTAATGGTTTAATTAATGTCAGTGGTTTTCAGGCTTCTTTCGCGTTTTTTGGAAATTTTGCAATTCAAAAAATTACGACATGTGGGGGCGGAGGGTCTTTATTAAGCCTGGAGAAGTATAAAATCAGTCCTGTTTACTGAATTCGTGGGGAGAACAGTGATTCTCTAGTAGTTGTTTGGTCTTTTTGGGTATTTCATGTTCAAAAAAATTTTTTTTTGTGTAAAAATTGCAAAAAATAAATTTTCACCCTTCTACTACCCTCAAGTACGTTTCCGAGGGGGTTGGAAATTTTTTAGGGGATAGAGCGAGTCCTTAGGAACATACTCCAGTAGAAGTTGCTCAATCTTTTTGGATATTTCATGTTCAACAAATTTTTTTTGTGTAAAAACCGCAAAAAAATTACTTTTCACCCTTCTACTACCCTCAAGTACGTTTCCGAGGGGGTTGGCAATTTTTTAGGGGATACAGCGAGTCCTTAGGAACATACTCCAGTAGAAGTTGTTTGGTGTTTTTGGGTATTTCATGTTAAAAAAATTTTTTTTTGCGTAAAAATCGCCAAAAAATAACTTTTCACCCTTCTACTACCCTCAAGTACGTTTCCGAGGGGGTTGGCAATTTTTTAGGGGATAGGGCGAGTTCTTAGGAACATACTCCAGTAGAAGTTGCTCAATCTTTTTGGATATTTCATGTTCAAAAAATTTTTTTTTATGTAAAAACCGCAAAAAAATTACTTTTCACCCTTCTACTACCCTCAAGGACGTTTCCGAGGGGGTTGGCAATTTTTTAGGGGATACAGCGAGTCCTTAGGAACATACTCCAGTAGAAGTTGTTTGGTGTTTTTGGGTATTTCATGTTAAAAAAATTTTTTTTTGCGTAAAAATCGCCAAAAAATAACTTTTCACCCTTCTACTACCCTCAAGTACGTTTCCGAGGGGGTTGGCAATTTTTTAGGGGATAGGGCGAGTTCTTAGGAACATACTCCAGTAGAAGTTGCTCAATCTTTTTGGATATTTCATGTTCAAAAAATTTTTTTTTATGTAAAAACCGCAAAAAAATTACTTTTCACCCTTCTACTCCCCTCAAAGACGTTTCCGAGGGGGTTGGCAATTTTTTAGGGGATACAGCGAGTCCTTAGGAACATACTCCAGTAGAAGTTGTTTGGTGTTTTTGGGTATTTCATGTTAAAAAAATTTTTTTTTGCGTAAAAATCGCCGAAAAATAACTTTTCACCCTTCTACTACCCTCAAGTACGTTTCCGAGGGGGTTGATGTTCTCCTGAAAAAATAACTACGAATGGGTTCGATTTTACAGTGCGAAGGCTTTAACCGACCTTTTCCCCGAACCCCCCAAAATCGCCCCAATCAATCAAAGCCATCTGCCAATCCCGCAAACTCCCTTACTCATTTCCACCGAAGAATTCCCCTGATTCCGAGGCTCGCGAATCTCCTTGGACTCCCTCTGCGCGCTCTCGGCCTCATAATCCTCGTAATCCACTTCCTCACTCGCCGTATCCCTCAAACCCTCCTCATAACTCTCAGCATTAGCCCCCTGCTCCAGCCTCGTTCCCCCCGAAGCGGGCCCCTGAGCATTAGCGCCCATCGCCGCCTGATACACCGAATTCGTCGGGTACTGATTACTCCAATTTCCCCCGATCTCTGAAACCCAAATCAAAACCCCATATTCTCTCGTTGCAGAAAAAAAATTAAATTTCAGATTTTCTTACAAATTCTATGAAATTCCAAAAAATTGAAAATTTAAAAATATAGGGGCGAGTGGGGCAAAATGAAATAGTTGAAAAACAACTGCTGGACACAATTCAAGTGAAAATAATTTTTTTATCAACTTTTGCTTATCAACTTTTTTTTTACTCTTGGGAGTACTGTTTTTGCATTCTACCAAATGAAAAATAATAATACTTTTCCATAAATAATATTAATAATAATAATAATAATAATGATAATGATAATAAAATATTATTACTAATAATATAAAAAATTAAAAAAATACAAATATTAAATAAATAATATTTATAAATATATTTATATTTTTTATATTATAAATATTATTAAAGAATAACAATTTCCCATTCATATGTGATGCTGAATTTCAATAGAATGAAAATGGAAAACTGCGATCGGCCTAATCTTGAATTATAAGACGAATAGAAAATTATTATTCTTATCAGTACTCGCAATATTAAAAAAAAAATTGTTTTGCTTGAATTGCGTCAAATTCTATTAATTTTTATGGAATAATTGAACTGAAATTTACAGTCGTCATTGATTTTTCCCGAAATTCTGAATTTTCAACCCAAACTCCACATTCTTTCACTTCGCGCCTGTTTGGTTAGCTGTTTTATTACTCCAACCCTCGGGAGGTTGAAAAAAATTGAAATTTCGCAGAGTTACTCAATTCCGGGAGAAATAAATCACGAAATTTCAGTTTTCCCCGGAAATTCAATCAAATTTTAGGGCGCAATAGCCCTGAAATTTGAAGTTCTCGTCGATTTCTCCACGAAATTCTAAGCTGTCACTGACGAAATCCCTCGAAACTCGAGTGTAACGGAAATGCGATGAAAATTTCCAAAAAGTGTACCGGAAATTTCGGCCAATAATTTTCAACGGCGCATAGAATTCGAATAATACATTCACCGCAGGTGTGTTAGGAAATCAAGCTTTGCAAATTAACATCAGTATGCCACTCTCTTTTCAACTGGCCTTCGTGTAACCCAGTTCGTACGATATCTCGTTGTAAAACTAGATCTCTGGACAATTAATATCCGCGTTATGTCATATTTTCGTCCGAAATCTCTTTCCCGGGGAGGACCCCCCAAACCCTCGCGATTTCAGAACTTCGTTTCATTTCACATTTCATCCCCGCAATTTAATTTGAATGAATTAATGCACAGACCACCGCAATAAGGCCCAGAAGAGCAGACGAATTGAACACATTTAGTTCCTGTTCTGAACATGAAATGAAGCGATTGAAATAATTAGTTAAGCCACTAGAAAATTAATAAAACTCACCATCTTGACGGGTTTCAGTGGACGTCAAGACGAGAAGAAATGCGACGAGAATAAAACTCGCGACATTGACGTCGGGATGCACGAGAAATCCCCTCATTATTCACAGCCCAGTTTCCACCCTTGTGCTAGTGCAAGCCTAGCCCCAAGGGGTGATAAACCTCGATAAAAAATCCGAAAAACCTCTCAACTAAAAAATTGTCACTCCATCGTGCACTGATTTTCCCACTTGCTCCCAATTTCGCTAAGTACCACAGATTGTTGAACAAAAAGCCTCAAAATAACACTGCAATCCCGGGATAAACAGGATAAAGAGCGCTCATTTTACTGAATTCAGTACCGCAACATATTTGTCACTGGCGAGTACAAACGATAGGTAGAAAGCAAAATCCTACTTTCACTCGGCAGTAAGACGGAGAGGGCGAGAGGCACATTGCAAGAGGCATTCCGAGGCCAACAACAGCTAACAAGACAACCCAAGGGGCCCAGTAGTGGGTCTGGAGGGGACAGCCACCCCCACTCGTTCCTGAAGAAGTCGGCGGTGGGGACTCGCCAATGCCTTAAAAAAGTATTTTATTGTCGCGTGTCTGAGCCACTACTACCTTTATCCACTGGGGTATTTCGAGAGAACTCGGGACTGAGTTCATTCACCCACGCGCCGGACCCTTTGCCATTGTTTTTATCTCGTTTTTGGTACACCTTCTTTTTTGGGGTGTTTTTAGACCGCGAGACCTTGCCGGGGTCACCCACTTGGGATTTTTTATTCCCTTTCACTTTAGTTGTGGGTGCGATCGGGTTCTTAGCATATGGAAGTTGGAGATTAATTGGTTCGAGGGTATCTATTTATGCGATTGATACATCTGTTTAGAGAGTGAGCGATTTCGAAATTCTTGAATTCGAATTTTCGAAATTCTTGAATTTAAATTTTCGAAATTCTTGAATTCGAATTTTCGGAATTCTCGAGAGGTCTTGAGATGAAAAATACATCTGTTTAAAGAGTGAGCGATTTCGAAATTCTTGAATTCGAATTTTCGAAATTCTTGAATTTGAATTTTCGAAATTCTTGAATTCGAATTTTCGAAATTCTTGAATTCGAATTTTCGAAATTCTTGAATTCGAATTTTCGGAATTCTCGAGAGGTCTTGAGATGAAAAATACATCTGTTTAAAGAGTGAGCGATTTCGAAATTCTTGAATTCGAATTTTCGAAATTCTTGAATTTGAATTCTCGAAATTCTCGAGAGAGGTCTTGAGATGAAAAAAAAATTCTCAGAGGGAGTAAAAATTTTGCGCCGGGAATCCTCAGCCGAGCGGGCATGGAAAAATATGGGAGATGGCTTGAAAAATTTGTTCTTTCTGGAGAAACCGGATGAAGCGAGGTGACGGGGATCTGGAGTCGATAAATAATTTTAAGAAGTGTTTAAAAACGCGAGGTGGAGCGCCGCCATATTTGAGGCCCCTTGCGGAAGGGAGAGGCGTATTTTCGATCATTTTCTGAAATTATCTATTCCCTTCGCGTCATTCTCAACTCGCTTCGTCCAATCATTAGAAAATGGGCAAATTTTTCAACCTACACTTCAAATTTTTTCATCCCTTTTCGGTTCCGCATTCAAAAATTGGCTATTCCACTTCCTCGATTTATTCAAATCACACAATTTTCTTCGGGAGGTGTAAATTATTCAGAAAGCTCCATTTTACGTCACTTAACTCCGGAACCCACTCATTAATTAAGTTTAGTCCAAGCTAATTAGAAAGGGACCGAAATCTACTTTGCATTAACATAAAAATCGTTGAATGAAAAATGGAATTAATTATTGGCATGAAAAAAAAACTACTGTTCCCCCTGTTTCCCCCTCTTTACGACGGAATGTACACGGAACATTACCAAAAGTGAATTTGCATGGCATGCTATCGGGTGACTTCATCCGTAAGAAGCAACACTCCGCCTTTTCCTCGTCCAAATACTGGACAGTTACACTCGATACAATGTGTGCAACTACCGTTACGTTGTCTCGTTACATTCACCAACGCCGGGTCACGCCTGTTGACCCTACACTGAGATACAACGGAACAAAGCTGTTAAATAGCTATGACACGATAAAAATTAGGCGCGAAGTGGTATCTCGAAATGTTGAAGAACATGACGGCGATAGTGAATACAAAATTATAATATCCCGTCCTTATCCCGGATCTGCGTTGGCTCGCCTCTCACGCCCCTGTCTTGCTCACTGTATCGTGGTAACGGTCGTCGTAAAATTCAGAGGGACAACCTTGCTAAGGGGAGATGTAAAAATTCCTTCCAAGGTTTTCTGGTCGTCCGGATAAAGTGACTCGTTTCTACTCTTCTGCTGGGGGAATGCGTCGGCCATGGAATAGATAACAATTGGGTTCCATGGAGGCACATTATTTCATGACAAACGCCTATTTTACTTTCTCGTGAAATCATTTTTTAATGTAAATCGCAGAAAACAATGAATCCAGAAATTTTTATGAAGTAGAAGAAATTTTTTTAAATTTTTTTAAATTCCTGAGAATTTTTCAGACCGTTTAAGGTAGCTCTACCGTTACAAAAAATTCCTCAATTTAATGGCCGTTCTGGTTTCTTTAAGGAAAAACCAGTCTCGTGTTTAAATAAACATTCCCATCACCATTAAAGACTAGAATCTCCATTTTTCTCGATTAATGTGAAGAAATCAGTAAATTCCATTATTTATTCACGAGAAAAAAATTCAGAAAAAATCGCAATATTATGCTAAATGAAAGTCGAGAGATTCGCGAAACACCAGACCCTTTTTTCTCTGCGTGGATGACGCGTTTGGTTTCAGCATTGCGCCGACATTTCGCCAACATTGAAATATGCACCTTCGGATCAGTTCCAGGCCCTAGTGGAGTGGTGACCACGAGGGAACACCTCGGGCAGAGCGATGGTTGAAATTCGGTAACTAAAAATGGGAAATTAATAGTCTTAAATTAATCAGTTAATTATAAATCTTGGGTAAGAAATTAGAGTGCCCTTAAAGAATCTTTGAGCCTCAAGGCATCAAATAAACCTGTGAAAGAGTGAAGCAATCAGAGTCTTTAATTGCTCATCTGGCGAATTAATCCCAAAAATAAATCAATTCACAAATTAAAATGTCCTCTATTTTCAAATTTTTTTTATTGAACCCTAGAATTACACATGACAATGGATCTGCTGAACATCAGTGGAACTGCCGCAGCATTCAATTTATTTTCAACATTTGATGTCAATAGTGGAGTCTCCGGGGTTGTGAATATAACGTATTGCACGTCCAATTAACTGAAATGAAACATGAAAAAAAAATTGTAAAATGTGAAAATGGTAGATCGACGTCTCCTAATAAAACAAGGGTATTCAAATTTCCTTTTTAAAACGAGGGTATCTCAAAATTCATGTGAAAGCTTGTTCACATCCATTTCTAAGTCTCATGGAGCTCGCAAATCATTTTATTTCTCTTCCAATGTCAACTACTTCATGTTATTTGTACTTTTTGATGCCTTCATACCATTCATACAGTTGTCAAGAGAAGAAAAACGTGAGATTTCAGACGAGTTTTCATATGAATTATGAGATCCCTCGTTTTATTATGAAACGTTGAAATATGCGGTTGAGCACGAGGGTTCACTCACTTTGTTGTGGGCCTCCGAGATGGTTCAGATGCAGTGGGTGGTGGAGGTGGGCCCCTGCGTGCCAATTCCTCGAGGTAGCCCATGAGCAGTCGCGTGCGCTCGTGTGACGCCGCCTCGAGAACCAAAAATCTCCTGTCCTTCCTCAGTATATCCTCGATCTCCACTAATGACGCACTATTCTCCTGCACTTTTTTGTACGTCCTGTCAGTTATCAGCTTTGTCTCCTGGAGGAGTTCACGAAAGTCAGCTTTCGCTGCAACGAGCTTGTCTTTTATATACTCCTTGAATTCTTTCTCACACTTTCTGTCGCTCGACGAGAACTTTGTGTATCTGGGATCGTCTTTCAGTTGCTTCTTTATGTCCTTCCAGGAGGCTGTGAGCTCAGTTGATGCACCAACTTCGTCCAAAAGCTCGCGGAATTTGTCACGTTTTTTTCTTCCCAATTGTTCAATGTGCTCGTTGAACAGGCGCTCTTTCTCCTCTCGGTCGAGGCTCTCGGCCAATTCCCAACGGTGATCCTTTCGGAGCTGGCGTTTTGCCTCGCGCCAGGCTAGATCTCCATTTCTCACCTGAATAATTGAAATAAATTTACAGAATTTTTTCTCACAATATTTTTACTTTTTTCGTTTTACTTCATTCATTCAATTTTTTTTCGCAATAGAATTGGTTTTAAAGGTTTGGTTTGCTCTGTGTAGAGCAAATAGACCTTGTCAATTAACTTGAAAAGAATCAACGAGATGCTGAAATTGTCTTGCTTGTTCTGTTCTGTTCTCTTCTTCATAGAAATAGCCATTCTTACCAGATCAGCAAGTAATGCACTGAAATGTTGCACAGCCTCCGTATGCCTGTGATGCTGTCTCTCCTTATCCCTATCACGCAGATGTGTCGCAAGTGTTCGCTGCACCTCGCGCTCCCTCTCACGAAGACTAGCCTCAGCCCTTCTCTCTCGTTCGCGTTTGGCTTTTTCACGGTCCTCCTCAGAATCCGAGTGCTCATCGTTCTCGTAATTCTGTAACGATACCGTCTCCCAAATGTTAATGCAAACAGTTACGCAAGTAATTCGGTGGGACTACTAATTCGTGACTTCAGTGGATGAATTCAAAATCTGAGGCTCATTCAAAATGAAAAATTCAGTCAAGAATTCAACGAGTTAGTCAGCAAAATCACTTTCTTCAAATAAATAATCACATTTTAAACATTTTCATTCGTCATTAATGGAATAATAAAATGAAATGTGAAGTTCAGTCCAAACTAATACGATTCAATTTTTTTTTCAGTCTAATATGCTTTGAAATAAAAAAAGAATAATAAATAGTCCCAGTAAATGAATGGATTTCAACGAGTTAATCAACAAAATCACTCTCTTTAAACAAATAATCACAATTTAAACATTTTCATTCGTCATTAATGGAATAATAAAATAAAATATGAAGTTCAGTCCACACTAATATGCATTAAAATAAAAAAAGAATAATAAATAATCCCAGTAAATGAATAATTTGAATAAACAAATGGGCTCCGAAGCCCACTCATTAATTAATTCCCCTCCGGCCAAATTAGAAAATATAACCAACTCCACATTCCACCAAACTAAAAGAAAAACTTACGTCATTTTCCTTCTTCGTCAATTTATCCTCCGCCTCCTCAATCTCTCCACTCTCCTTCTCCACCTCCTTCTTGCTCTCCTTGCCATTCTCCTCAGTCGAATTATTACTCCTCCTCTTCTTCTCCTTATCCTTCTCCTTCCTCTCCTTCCTCTCCTCCTTCCTCTCCTTATCCTTCCTCTCCGACTTGTGATGGTCCTTGTCCCTGTGTCGATGATCCTTCTCCTTGTCCCTCTCCTTCTCCCTCTTCCTCTCGTCCTTCAACAGCCGCACGTAATCCCGAAACCAATCCTCCCTCGTTGTCGCCGAATCGACGAGACGATATCTCCAGTCACCCTCGAGCCGCTTCTTGCAGTCACTCCAGTGCGAATGTCTGTCGATGTCCTTGTGCTCCCTCAGCATCGTAATGAAATCCTTTTTCACCTGAAACGGTTTATTATCGTCATTAAAATCCACCTGATCCTGTCGTTTCCTGAGGCTTTCCTTAATAATTATCGAATTACATTGGTCCACTAGATTTAAGAATAATCGAGTTACACATGCACTTGACAATGCTCTCTCAATCATTCAAACGCATTCTGCCTCAGTGGATGGTCCAGACCTCACGAAGCATTTCAACACTTAAATAATTAACATTAATCACTATTCATTAACAAATTCATAACTTCATAAATAAATTCATCAATTCAACAATTCGTTACTTCAATTCATTACGAATGTTATTCGTTAAAAAAAACTGGACACTCCACTCGGCAAAAACCCGTCTAAAATCATGAAGTAGCACTAATCCCCCTGAAAAAAATTATGACACCGATTACATGCTGAAAAAAAAAAATGATTAAACGTACTCCCTGAGTCACCGCTAATCGATTAACGAAATGAACCGAGCACTCCACGGCTCGGATCCAATGTTCTCGATTAGCGGGGATTCAGATAGTCCCATTGCTCGTTCGAACATTCGAATCAGTCGTCCCAGCTGAAAATGAAAAAATCATTAGTGGATTAATCATGAAGCGCCGTGTGCATTTGAGAAGCACGATCCTAACACAATTATCAACTAATAATGAACAATTGTGAGATTGTGCTTCATTGTGGTGGATATCATCGCATTTGACACATATTGTACATAAAATTTGAGATTATCCAAGTCAGTTGGAACAACATGGTGTTCCGGACGTTGGCACATTTGTTCTTCAAGAGGTTTTTCAACATTCACAAAGTGCCCCCCTCATGTAAGCAAGAGTGATTAAGTATTTCTTAGTCATTCTTTTGTTACATTTATATCATCGTAACGAGTGGAATCTCTTAACCGACAATTTTAATCTGTTGTGAATGATCTCGCTACCTCATTTACCTCATCCCAATAGCATATAATTCCTGGGTAAAATAGTCTTCATTTTTCTCAAGTCTTTCAAAACGGGGTAACAAAATTGCTTGTTCTCTTTTTTTTTTTTTTTTTTCATTTCTTTGAAGTAACGAGGATTACGATTAATATACAAATACCGAGTTTTCGTTCATTCTCATGACTCTGGTTTGGAGTTAAGAATGCGGCGCGCGAGGATGTGCCAACAGTGTGCCGCGCAGTGTAGGTGGGGATGGATAAGATGACATCATCCAATGCCACCAACCAGCTTCAGAAGCCAATCCACATACGGAACCTGTCCTGCCCTGCCTCCTGACTGAAGTGGAGAGTTCAGAAACACATGAGTACATAAACGAACCGTCAATACTAGCAATTTTTCTTTTTTTTTTTTAATTTATCGACTAATTCACAATGTCAAAATTTCACTTTACCTCTCCCAACTAACGTCTATTGTTTTGTGGTTGTAAATGCGCACTGAGTGGTGCTTATCAGTGACACCTGAGGCTCAAGGCGTCAATTGGAAGAGAGTAATTTAAAAATTCTGCCTAGTTTTATTGTCCGCTTGGGTCCATTAAATCAATTCGTTTGCGTGAAAAATCTTACAATTTTAACAAAATAATAACGTACCTATGGCACCTGAAAGAATTATTATTTATGGCCTGGAAATAATGGGAGTTATCAGCACAGTTACGTTTTGCATTTGCTTTCTTATAATAACTTAATTATACGTTTCTTTTTTTTTTCGTCAGGGAATCGGGGGCATTTTGTTAGGCGACAGGATGATGTGGTGTGCATGGAGAGAAATTCTTTAGGAAAATTCTGGTGCCAGCACTGGAAAGGTGCAAAGTTGCCAGCTAGGGAAAATTCCAGAGCTGGCACTGGAAATAAGAATTTATTGGGATAGATTATTTATTTGAAATTTTCACAGAAACAATCAGAAATACTCAACAGCACTAGAATTTTTCTTTGCTGGTGAATTGTGGTTTTCCAGTACTGGGACTAGATTTTTTTCTGAGAAAATTCTCTTCGTGCATCTCCTCGAAAAAACTTTAGAGTATGAGAATGGGGTGAAGTAGAATTAATTAGGATGTGGAGGCTTCACGTACCTGCTCCCTTTTCGCTGTTTTCTCCTCTTTCTCTCGTTTTCTCACTTCTAAGATGTACTCGTTGAAGAGAGACTCACGCTCACGCATTTTTTCAACGTTCTTGAAACGCTCGTCGCGGCCGTGCTTCTGTGCAAAGTCGCTGAATGATGATCTGCAAGTGAAAATGTTTTTTTGTCATTTTGAACAATTCATGATTTTTTGGGAATTTTAAACGAATTGTTCATTCATTCGAGACGAGAATGGGGGAAAATATGTGGACTTAATATTTCCCATGAATTAATAAAATAAAATAAAATTGAAAGTAAACAGTAAATTATGAGGCTGAAAATTCTGGAATTAAAAACCAAAAAAAGAGAATTTTTGAACAATCTAAAATGTCATTTTTTTGAATAATGAATTAATATAATTGACATATTCTGTAACTCAATCAGCTGTTTTTACAATTAAACAAATATTTTTGACACGAAAAAGTCTAGAAATTTTCTCCCTTCAATCCTCTCACAAGACATGAAGAATGAACTTGTCGAATACATACTTTCCATGAAGATTAGCCTCCTCGAGAAGTTTCTGGAACTGATCCTTCCTCTCCTTCATCTTATTCCTCTTCTCCCTCCTCTCCTCCTCAGCCCGTTCCTTCACATACTTCTCGAACACTTGCTTGCGCTCCTTGGAGGTCAGCAGGAGATATCTTGGATCGAAGACTATCTTATGGAGTTCTTTTTCCCATGTGCTGAACGCCGAGACCTACGAATTAAAGAATTCACCAGAATAATTGACCAAAAAAATTCATCTGACAGTGAAATTAGGTAGAATGAACAATAACATTAACCAGAATGAGTGCAAAATATGAAAAAATAATAATTTTATCGCTTAATAATAACCCTTACATCTTTCTCAGCAAGCATATCCCTGAAGGATTTGATTCTCGTCTCGAGAGGTACGATAGCTCGTTCTCGAGCAGCTCGAACTTCTGCCTCAATGGCAGCCTCCTTCCCAATGTCGATGGTCTTCTTCTCCGTTTTCTCCTCAGCCTCATCGGCCTCGTCCTCTTCCTCCTGCACCTCCTTTGCTCCAATACCTGATCCCTCTGGATAAGAATGAAAAAAAATTCTTCATTTTATAATGCATAAAAAAATGCTAACAAATCACGAGAAATAATTACAATTCAGTAGCGAAGTGGTAAAACGATTTAAGTCGACTCATCTCCCAGTTGAGTTTTTGAAGTATATTTTCGAATCTAAGAGAGATAGCGAAATTTTCGTAATTACATTTGTTATAGGTCTCAATCGGCTCTACAAAAAAGGTTATAACAACAATTTCTCTATCTCCCTTAGATTCCGAGATATTCATTGAAAACTGACCAATAATCAAAACTGACTTATACCGTTTTACCACTTGGCTACTGAATTATTTATTCACGAATAAAATTGATAATTCACGAATAAAATTGTCATGCCACATCAAGTTTTTTCAAGAACTAGAAAAAATGCATAAAACATCTAAATTTTGTCGAACTATGTAATCCAATTGTCCCCATTCATGTGCGCCCGTTCTCCAATTACAAATATTTCACCGACGAACAGTGACATCATCCAAAGAGTACCGTACATTCCCGACTGAACCCCCTATTCACCAATAAATAAATAAACCAGTTAAAAACCTTTGGCTTCCTCCTGCCTGGCCTTTTTAGCAGGCGTGGGTTGCTCCTCATCGCTAGTGTCGCTGCTCTCCTCCACCCTGGTGTGCTTCTGCCCCCCGAGAGCCTCTGGCACAGTGGTCACCATCTTCTCGACATCAGATCTCCCGAGAAGATCGTCCGGCCTCTCCCACACAGAAATCCTCGACGATGGATTATAGAAGAAGACCCTGCCATCCCCAGTCCAGACGACGCACCAGGGAGTCCCTGGCACAGGAGTGCTGGATATGGGTCTCGATTTGTCCAGGGGTTTGGCCTCCTTGGGGGCCTCCTCCTTCTTGACCTTGGGCTCGCCCTCCTTGGTGGTTTCTTTGGTATCACTGGCCCCTTCTGGCTGCTTGTCAGTTTTGCTGCTGTCGATGCTCCCGCCAGGGGCTGCACTGCTCGTCGTGACACTGGCCTCTTCTGTTTTCTGCCTGATGGCATTCTTCGCTGCTTCGAAGTCCTTCAGGGCCTGGGGCTTCTCCCACACGGATTCACCAGCTTTGCTGTTGTAGTAGTAGGATCTGCCGTCGGGGGCTCGATGCTCTGTCCAGACAACTGCTGCTGCGACCAGGTCGGAGTCTAGCTGAGCCAGAACTGCTGGATCTTCTGAGGGTGTCTGTGGGGCTATCACTCCGTGGGGCATCTGCGGCATTCCCCAGCCGGCCTGAGGGGGCCCGTAACCTCCGAAGGGCTGGAAACCTGGTGGGGGCATGCCAAATGGAGCTGCACCAAATGGCGCTGACATTGGGGCTCCGTACTGGCTCGGCATGCGGTGCTGCATGGCCACCATGTTCGGCGGGGGCTGCAGCATGTTTGTGGGGGGTGCTGGCGTCGGGGCTACTGAGGGGGCGGAGACGGGAACTCCACCGTTGGGCACGGATTCCGGCGCTGGCTGGGGCTGCGGCGGCAGCGACTCTGGGCCCTCGGCTAGCAGGGGCGGGGGACCTGTCCCCGGGGGAGCTGTCGTCGCTGCGGGCGTCTCTGGCGGCGGTGTTTGCGCGGAGGGCTGCACCACTCGGCTCTCGGGGATTGACGACGGCTGCGTCTGCGGGGGAACTGACGCCGTCGAGTCGCGACCTGGCTGCTTTGCTGCACTGTGCACCAGTTGCTCCAGCTGAGGTTTTAAATGGGTTAGAATTTTTTGGGGGCTGCAGGGAATTTTATGGAGTTTCAGGGGAGTTTCGGGGCATTTCGAGATTGAGACACTATTTGTTACGGCAGTTTTAGGAGGAGTTGATGGAAGAGTTTTGGGGTATATCTTCGGCGAACGTTTTGGAAGAATAAGGAAAATTCAGGTGAAGGTTGAAATTTAGTTCTTTTTCGTTAGTCAATTTTTTTACGTAAAAGTTGGGGATTCATTTGAATTCTTGATAAAACTCGAATTTTCAGGATCTTTTGTCGTGGAAATATGAGGTATGCTGGTGATTTTAGAATAATTTAGGGAGAAAATTAACAAAAGTTGGAAATTTTAGCTTAATTTTTACGAAATTCTGGGGGAATCAGGAAAATTCAAATAAGTTGGGAAAGTTTGTTGTATCCCTATTTTAAAATTATGAATTTACTTGAATTCTATCTAAACGTAAAAAAATGCAGTGTCAATGACTCATCGAATTATCGATTAAATGGGATGAATCCTCTGAATGATTTTTTTTTGTTGAATATAAAAATTTAATGAAAGACGTGTATTTTTTATTCTCATACTTGAGGCTTGCATTTTTCTTTTTTTAATGAAAGGAAAATAGAGATTGAGATTTACCTGATCTTGGACCATAACTTTGACATTAGGTCCCTCTGGCTTGGTCCACGTTGTTTCTCTAGATCGAATATTGTAAAAATAAGACTTGCCATCAGGTGTCTTGGTTTCCACCCATACCTCGCCATTTAAATCCAGACCTGGAATGTTACTCGGTTGTTGTTGATTCTGTTGGGGTTGATTTTGCTGAGCTGGAATCTGCAGACAACAATAATTTCAGAAAAATATAATACGAAAATATTTTAAAAAAACCATTTCACCATTTTGCATTCACAAATTCAGTTTCGAAATAAATATTTCACCCACAAAACATTTACATCATCGAACAAATAAATCAATAAATGGAAATGTAACTCATAAATCGATAAGAATGGAGGGAGAAATCATAATTTCTTTCATTTTTGAGTGAATTAAAAATTTGAAAAGCTTCTTACGCTGTTCATGTTGGGTGGGCCCATCCCCGGAGGGCCGTAATGGCTGCCCTGGCCCATGGGTCCGTTCATCATGTGCGGTGGAGGCTGAAATCAGACATCCCCGTTAAAAATACAACCATTCATTGTCCATATGCATTCGCTTTCAAGTTTTCATTTTTTTCCAGTCCCCACCCTTTATCAATTGAGGTAAAGAAGTTTTTGTTTCAATAATGCCATATGGGCTACAAAGTTCTGGACATAAGTGGAATATAAAGTTGTATTAGTGAGAATCGTGAAGGGTTCTATCAAATAGAAATCATAGAAGTGATTACGGACGTTCGAAACATGTAAATATTATAAATATCTTTATAATGCAAAGTGAAACTCTTTTATTTATCTCGATATGAAATTATAATCTTATTTAAAAGAAGACGATGGGAGGTGAAAAGCCTGGTGAAGATGTAGAACAAAGACAACTTTGGTAACACCAAAGAAATAAATGAATGAATGAATGAATTGGTAAGAATAGCACCTAAAAATAGCAAAATCACATAAATATTTAAATTAAAATCTAGTAAAATCACATGAGTAGTTAAATTAAAAATGCGTAAAATCACGTAAATAATTAAATTGAAAATGAGTAAAATCACATGAGTACTTCGAAAAAAATGCAGTTGGAATAAATTTAAACTACAAAAAAAGGAGATAATCTCACCATTCCTGGTGGCCCCATCAAGTTAGGTGGTCCCATCATGTTGGGAGGCCCCATGGGTCCCCAGCTCGGGTCGAACGGTGGAGGTCCCCTGAACCTTGGTCCCGAGGGTGGAGGGCAGTTGGGCCTCGGTGGACCCTCGTAAGGATAGCCGTTGTTGGAGCCTCTGTACATCGGCCCTCGTGGACCAAATCCTCGACCCCTAAATCTCGGTGGGCCACCTCCACGCATGCCATACTCGAAGCCTCTGTCATGGGGACTTGAAGGGTACATTAGTGCACGCTCGAGGGATTTTTGTTAGAGAATAATACAGAGGGGAATTAATGGGACTTTTTTAATTTTTTATATTTCCTGAGGCAGTGGCAGGAATGGAATAATTCCCTGATTAAATCATACAATTAAGATGAATTTGGTCTGGTTTTGGAGAGTAAAAAAATGTCTTGGAAGCCAATTTTTTTTTAAGAAAACAATTTTTTTTTATTCGAGTCAAGAGAGAGAGTAGAGTCAAATCTGTGAATTTAATGAGATTTACATGAATGTTGTCTCGTTTTGGAGCAGATAAAAATGCTTTTAAATAGTGGAGCATTTTTTAAATCTTAAATTATGGACAATTAACAACACTGAATAGCTCCTGACTAAACGATCCAATTAGGACGACTCTACTCTCATTTAAAAGCCCCAGAAAACCCCCCGAAAACGCCTTAAAATTTGTTCAATTTCACTGTGCCAATCCCGAGTAATTAGCCCTTAAAAATCGTAAATTTCCTCATCCCAAGTTGATTTACTCAACTTAAAACTCCAATATCTCCGGACCAAATGATCCAATTTAGACAAATCAAATCTCATCTCAAAGCTTCGAAAACCCCCCAAAAAATGAGTGAAAATTTTCTCAATTCCACTCTGCCATTCTCGAGATATTAAAAATCAAGTCCCCCACTCCCCCAATTAATGATTCATTCACCTAAAGCCACCGCGACCCCGTGGCACAAAAGGCCTGTACTCCTCGTTCTCATAGCCGTACTCCTCGGACTCCTCCATGGGCTCCTCGGAGTGCTCCTGCTCCGAATTAACCGGTGCCTCCTGGGGCGGCATACTCGACTGCTCACTATTGCCCTCCATCTTACCCCCGTGAAAATCAATCATTCAGTTTCCTCAAACTCCAGAGCATCTATTTACACTCATCCATGAGCTCCGCAATCAACCGATTCCCCTAACGACACCCGATATTCGTAGAAACAATGCCAGTCAATCAAACACGTCGCTACGAAGCGATGAATTATCTATCGCAAGGGGGGAAAACACTCCTTCAGGCGAAAAAAATAACTCTCATTGGCTGACTTTGGTTAGCGCGACACTTTTGTCAACTTCCGCCTTCAATTGTCGATGCACTCACTCCTAGACAGGCTTTTGTTATTCCGCGAGCCTCTCACCAATTTATCACAGCTCCGCTTGTTTTTTCACTTTTTTTAACCCTTTGCTCTTATTTGTTTGAGGCCGACGCGAACAAAATGCCGGACTAGAGGGCCAACGAAATTAAAGCACGTCCTCATTGGCGACAAATGCAAAATACTCTGTGAAGTCGGTTTATATCGAAATGTATCGAAACTACTCGATCGCTCATTTCTCAATTGTGACTGGTCAGTCAGTGCCGTGAAGTTGGTCGCGAAAAAAACACGCGGCATTTGCAAATTCTTCACACTCACAAGTTATTCTTTACATGATTGTAGAAAAGTTCTCGTATTTATCGTGCGAGGAAGTGATTAATTCTTCCTTAATGGATTTTTATTTGTCATGCATTTTTATAAATTTTATTCTTTTTCGCTTTTAGACTTCGACATCCAAATGCCCGTTTTTTTTCATTCACGAAAAATTTAGAAGATTATTCAGTCTTCCAGAGAATTTTCGATTTTTCTGAATGACATTCCTTAATTTTCAACAGTTTCAAAGGTGAAAAAGAATTGATTAACGATCAATCAAAGTTATTTATTAATTTTTCACTTATTATTCCTCTTTATCATTAAGTTTGTTCTCTATACCATTAATTCTTATAATGCATTCATGAGTATTAATTGTATTAAATGTATCATTATTATTTATGTTTATAAATGCGTAAATATCGCATGGCAAAATTATATTAAATAATTAATTATTAATAATTAATAATTAATTACGGATTACGGCGCATCTTCATGTTCCAGTGGATAATGTCACCCCCGATTTTATCGGTACTACAGGCCAGTTCCCGCCAATTTTTCTCCATTGTTCTGTTGCTCATTCGTCGTGTTTACTCCACTGTTGAACGGTTGGAATTATTATTCGTTTTTAGCAGTAAGATTTATCCATCAGATATTTATTTCGATTCGTCATGGTGATCGAGACGAAATCACTGGAGAAATTTCGCCTGAAGAATGAGGACGGCGAGGTCCAGACGTTCGACAGAGGAATTGCGGAGTCCAAACACTTCGCTGGAAGATTCACTCAGCAGAGTCAACATTTTTCCAAACAGTTTTTCCATGTTTACGCGTGCAGGCTCGAGGAGCTCAGGGGAATTCTCGTTGAGAATGCTCGGAAGAAATGGGGTGAGTGTTGGTTTATTTTTTAGGGTGATTTCGTTTATTGATTACTGGGATGATCAGAGGTGACAATAAATTAATTATTAATTCAATTGATTATTAATTATTAAATTCATGATTAATTATTAATTGAATTGCTTATTAATTAATTAAATTAATAATAAGTGAATTAATTAATGATTATTTTTGTATTAATTATTAATTTTATCAATTATTTATTCAAATTTTAAATTAAAAATTGAAAAAATTTAATCAAATTTCATCAATTTTTGATTGAAAATTTTTTTTTGTTATGGAATAATCTTAAACTCGTATTTATTCAACTTGAAAAATGATAGAAAATCAAAATTTGTTTTTTCTTGTAAAAAAGCATCTAACTCCCCAATTTTTCAACATTAACAAAAATAAAATTCATGCAGTTTCTGAAGGTTTCATACTCACCAACAAAAAACACGCAAAACCCCGATTTATTGTCTCCAAAAGAAGACAAATCAATTCTAAAATCAGACAATAAATTAATCATTAATTCAATTGATTATTAATTCATTAAATTCATTATTAATTATTAATTTAATTGATTATTAATTAATTAAATTAATAATAAGTGAATTAATCAATGATTATTTGTGTATTAATTATTAATTTTATCAATTATTTATTCAAATTTTATCCATTTTTGATTGAAAATTTTTTTTTTGTTATGAAATAATATTAGATTCGTATTTATTCAACTTGAAAAATGATAGAAAGTAAAAAGTTGTTCTTAATTGTAAAAAAGCATCTAACTCCCCAATTTTTCAACATTGACAAAAATAAAATTCATGCAGTTTCTGAAGGTCCCATACTCACCAACAAAAAACACGCAAAACCCCGATTTATTGTCTCCAAAAGAAGACAAATCAATTCTAAAATCAGAGGAAAAATATTAGATTCATATTTCTTCATATAAATAAATAATTAAAAATCAAGAATCTAATAAAAAAAATTATCTGTAACTCCTCAACTCTCCCTCATTCACGAAATTAGGAAAATCCCTGCATTTTTGCGTCAATCTTCGCATCCAGCAATCAAACCCCCGATTTCTTCCCCCCAGGAGAGGACATAAAAATCCTGCGGCTCGCAGAGGTCGAGAATTTCGAGAACGAGCGTTGCATAATAATAGGGACCCTCTTCAAGCACCAATTGTGGAAGCCCTCGATCCTTCGTGAGCTGAGCGAGGACACCCAGGAGTCCGGGGTGATCCCCGAGAAGCACGAGAACTACTGCAGCAACAAAGACGTTCCCTTCCTGGAGGACGAGATGTTGAGGATCAAAATCGTGGGGCCTAAAGTGGAGATATCTGATGTAGTAACTGGGATAGTGGTGGCACTGCTCGGAAAGAAGTTGGAGGAAGGAACATTCGAGGTTGAGGACTGGTGCTACCCAGGATGCGCCCCCAAGGCTCCCCCGAAGGGTCCAATCTCTGAAGGAAAGATTCTTATGGTCTCTGGACTGGATTTAGCTCATAATTCAGACACTTTGGCCCTTGGACTCCTCACTGAGTGGATCACAGGTAGTCACACATTTTTTATACATAAATTATTAATTATTAATCCACTGTAATTAGAAATCGACATCAATCTTCAGTGCCAGTAAAATTTGGATTAAAATTTGAAAATGATAAAATAATTGATAATTTAAATTTTCAAATTAATTTCTTGGAAGAAGAATTGATTTTACAGGAGCATTTCTCCAGGCCAGCCATTACGTTGAATTGTGGAATATTTAAAATTATTCCAAATTATTTTACGGAACCCCTGTTTTTTATCGAAAAAAATGTCAAATTGAAGAAAATTGATGAAATTTTGAAAAAATCTCAAACTCCGGCAATTTAAATTTCCATTCACAGGGATGGCAGGGACTCTGCCAGCGCAGGAAGAGACATCATCGATCGTGAATTTGCTAATCGCTGGGAACAGCGTGAAGGCCACCAGCTCAGACGGTCACACAACGACGAAGGGGCTCATGACAAACAGAGCCCAGGAGTCTGCGGAGACCTCTGAGATAGCTTCAGCAGTGAAGAAGCTCGACGAACTGCTGTCGGAAATCCTGGAAGACTGCCCTGTGACCCTGATGCCAGGCCAGCACGACCCCACGAACCTCATGCTCCCCCAGAAGCCCCTCAATCGGTTCATGCTGCGCAATGCCCACAAGTACGAGAACTTCAGGGGAGCTCACAATCCCTGGCTGGGGAGCATTGGCGGCAGGATGATTGCTGGGTCCAGTGGACAACCCGTCGAGGACATCATGAGGGTCTGTGGGGAGGAGAACAAGAGGACTCCTCTTGAGTGGCTTGGGAAGACTCTCGAGTGGAGGCATTACTGTCCCACTGCACCGGACACTCTTCCCTCTTATCCTTATCATGAGAAGGATTTGTTCATCATGCAGGAGTGCCCAGATGTCTATTTCGTGGGGAATACTGACAAGTTTGAGAGCAAAATTTTCAAGGGTGAGTGGTTTTAATTTTGTTGGTCAAGGATTCATGTTATGTTCGTGCATTTTGCAATATATTCATATTTAATTTAATAAATGACTTGAAATGTCGTAATTTGATCGTTGCATTAATTTTTTTCATGAATAATATCATCAATGAAATTAAATGACGTAAAAAATTAAAAATAAAGCTTCATTAGAATGAAATTATTGTCTTCAAAAATAATAAAAATCATACAAAATGATTTATTGCATGTATGAAATGAATAAACAGCATGGAAATGCCCCATTAATTCTATTTCTGTTGTCTCGTAGGTGAAAATGGAGAGGAAGTTCGACTGGTTTCAGTGCCAAAATTCTCATCCACCAGTACAGCAGTTCTCCTGGACCTCAAAACCCTCGAAGCCAGTCCCATCTGCTTTGGAAATAATTAAACCCCATTCTTTCACTATCATACTCGAATTACATAAAAAATACTCTTGATACTTTTTTCATTCCGTTTCTTGCAATAAAAAGTCATATTTGAGAGCAAAATTTTCTAGGGGTTTTAATTCAATTCCTGAAGTCGGTGGAAGGCTTCATCCCATGTTCATGTATTTTATTACCATTTATATTTATACCCAAGTTACTTAATAACTTGAGGCAGTTCTCCTAGACCTCAAAACCGTCGAAACCAGTCTTATACTCAAATTACACAAAGAAAAAAAAATACTCTTGACTTGGCACTTTTTTTTTTATTTCAGTGTTTGATGAATCGTCCGAAATATAAATACATTTCACTTTTCCATTCATTTTGTTCCTATGTTTTTTTTGTTGTATAAAAGAAAAAAGCTGATGAAAACAAATGCGACCAGTGAGATTCAGCGTACGCTCTCGAGAACATTTTAACTTCCTATTTTCGAAAAACTTACAAATGATGGGGGGGGGGCGAAGGGAATACAAGTGATTGAAAAATCGCATTTAACTGACTAATTAAACAGTGGATTGTGAATTAAAAATGAAAAAACTTTATGCGTACATAATATACAAGTTCTCTAAACGCGTTTTAAATTTCATTTACTAGTGAAGAAAGATGACGGCATTAAATCCAATTAAATTAACATTCGCTGCTTTGCTCGACAATTTTAATTACATTTTTTTATAACTCCCTAAGTGTTGATTATTATTTTTTTTATAATTTTCAAAATTTTCTCTTCCATATTCACAAGAAAATAAGCGCTTGAGGTAATTTCAGTTTAAATTTTTTCATCCCTCCTTGCGAATTGATAATAAGCGATTAAATGATGTTATAAAATTTATATTTATAATACACTTTACAGAATCGTAATACTATTAACTTAGGGTGCATGTCACATTACCGACAGCTATATATAACAAATTGACAGGAATACCATCCAAAATAATTAATAGACGGGTTTTCATTAAAACACGTACGACAGCCAGTTACAGTTATTAGTATTATTTTGATAATTATTAATAGCTCCTATCTTTTGGCCGTCGAGCGTATTCTCTCTTTTTCAGCGTCCCTGTCGTCCGCTTCTGTCCATTCCGGGTCGTTTGGGTCTTCGCCGTCTGCGTCGCAGTAGGCTGACTCTGTTGTGTCTGATTCTGATGGATCCATCTCTGCCTCCTGCGTACGAGAGAATAACTATTTTATTTTACAGCTCTTTATTTGTCCCCGGCACCGAGAAAAAAAATTATTTCTGCTAAATGCGAGTTGATTAGGTTTCAATTGTGATAATCATGCTGCTCTAGAGGATGACTGTGCTCCACGTCCAGGATCTGATTTCTCCATATTTTTTCTAGAATTTCATTGTTAACTTTCCGATCTATCGGGTAGTTATAGTAATGACCCCGAAAATTGAATGTGGAATTTCCATGATTTTTCGCCATTTCTTGGCGCTTAGAAAAATTTTGAACAAATTTTGAAGACATGTTTTTTTATGTGTGTGTATGTGTGTAAATAAAATTTTGCCCGACGATTACTCTTCAACGGACGATTAGATTTTTTTTCAATTTTCTCCATTCTACTCTCGAAAAAACTGACAACAAATTTGTTACCTCATCAATCTTCTCCTCCTCTGGAGGGGCCAGAGCTGACGATGTGTTCTGCCAGTGGCCGGCCGGCATTGCTTCGAGCATCTTATCGTACAGCTCCTCTGGGAGGGGGAATATCCGGGGCTCGTAGGGTGTAACCTGATTCAAAGGGAAGATAGACGCGTTTAACGTGAATGACTGGATAACGAGTGGTTCGAGGGGAAAATGTCGAGACTGTTCTTTATTTTTTAAACAGGCTCTAACAACTTTTCCCTTAAACCTATTCATTGTCAAGATGAATCAATGAACAAGATGTTAAATTTTACTTGTTAGATTTTATCATGTTATTTTTATTCTTGAATGTGTAATTATCTCCACAACGGGTTGTTTTAGGAGAAATGAAAATACGTTTTTTATTAGAACAAAAGAAATTTAAGAAATTTAATTAATTTCATTTCATTTTTTTAAGAAATTCCATTTTTTATTTTTTACTGCTGTATGGAAAAAATCATTTGCTCTAGACTAGAACAGGTCTGAGATAATTCAAGAATTAATCAAAGAATATCAATATCTTGCATTTACTTATTAAACATAAAATTATTCTGATGAGTGATTTTATGTCTTCCAATTTGCGTGCAATCATTCCTCAAAATCTCGAATTCTAATAAATACATGAATGCAAACTCACTTCATTTTCGTCTTCGTGAATGGAGCTCGCAGCATCTTCCTTAGCAGCCCTCATCGACGAGGAATTGGTTCTTCGTCGAATGGCATTCTGCAGGGTAGAGTTGCGATGTTCCATCGTATTGTGATGTTCAGCGTCTTGTGCTCCAGAAGGTGTAGCCGGAGGGGAGGTAATCGGCGATGTCACATCACCACCGAAATCACTGGCATGTGGTGACATTGGATCTAAAAAAATTCATCAATTCAAAATCACGAGTACCCAAGCACTATTCAGTGATGAAATTTTCCAAGCCATTCCCTCTTTTTTGCCTTGAAATCGTTCATTTTCGCATTCTTTTTATTTATTTTTTAGCACGAAACCTCAAGGTTTATACAGCATATTTTTAGATTCTCTAATTTTGCATGGAAATCATGTAGAATTGTCTGAAACGTAAAAATATCAAATTTACTGGTCAACTTTTAGAAGATCGAAGGAATAGAGAACTAAAATTATTCCAAAAAATCTGTAATTTTGTCAGATTATAGGCATTAATGAGGACTAATTCTGCGCTCAAGTTCAGTTGAACCGACCCAGCCATTTTTCAGAAATTGCCATTTGTTTCTAAATCGTTTTTCGCAAATATCTCGAAAATATGAGATATGAGATATGAATCAATGAATGACTTATTTTCCTTTTCTATGGCATTACACCTTTTACAATAGAAATATAGTTTCCCATGCTTGTGCCCAACCGATTTCAATTTTTTTCCTTTAAAATATTCGCCTGAAGCCCTAAAAATTTTCGAGATATTTCAATTATTCAGTTTTTCGCTTAAAATCCTTGTACGCATTCTCATTTTTGAAAAAAATCACCAGATCAACTTGTTTTTCATTGCAGTGTTCTTCAATACCTGGAGTATTTGCGCCGCTGTCTGCTCTACTGTCTGCCCGACGATTATGACGAATTCGATTGTTGGGCAGTTTGTTGAGCAAACTCTTGAAGCGTTTGCTCTCCTCCCGCTCGCTCCTCTCGTGCCTCAGCATAATCGTCTCCTCCGACATATCCTCGAACTGAAAGGAGCAGAAATTCAATAATAGCATGCGCCAGGGATTACGTAAACCAACGATAATTAACGATCAGTCATTGAAATGAGCCTTACATCACTGTCTTGACTAGGCCTGTGCATCACACCGTTCTTCACATCCGTTTTAGCTAGGTCTCCACATATCCTCCACCTGGAGAACACAAATTTTTGAATCGTTAAAAGAGAAAGGAGATTACCAAAAAAGGTGGTGCAGAAGTGCAAGATCATTCATTCGATATTCCAGCGGTTTAAGGTCAAATGAGATGAGTCAACATGAAACTTTGATATCTTCTGAATGAACCATACAATTTCGACAAGTTAGAACTCATTTTAAACCTTATAATAATCCCTTGAAAACAAAAAAAAAGTTGTCGAGTTTCACTCAGCCAATCTCAAGATATTGAAGACTGAAAATATTCCATTTAATTTAAATTCCCTCTAATTCCATCTAATTTAAAAGTTCGATGAATTAAAAATTAAACTTATTCAATTTCTTCAATTTTCAGTATCCCCTGATCTAACGATACGATTTCAGCAAGTCAGAGATCATTTTAAGCCTCACAATGAGGCCTTCAAAATGAAACAAAAAAGTTGAAAAATTATCAGTAATTAAAAGCACTCTATACGCCCCCATTCCCCCTGAATCAGCGATTAAAAAAACAACTCAAGTAACTCCCACTCACTTTGGTGTTAAAATTTCCTTATACTGTAGCTTCTCGAGTCTAGCAGAAGCCGCAACACTGTACGGTATAACAATATTATCGATGTCATAGGAATTACGTCTGAGTCTGGGCTGTGAATTTGAGTTTCTCTCCTTGGTTGGAACTTTCTCAGCAGTGGCAGTGGGATGTTGGGATGGTGAAGGCACTGGTGACGAGTGTTTACTGGAGCTGGACTGGGCACTGACATCGTCATCGTCCTCAGGATGTGAGAGTTTGGGTGTCCTCTTCCTGCTGATGCCCTGAATGCCCTTGCCCTGGCCCGTGGCCTCCCTCTTGCCCTTCAACATCTTCCTCTTGATCCTCGCCGAGAGTAACGTCGACGACGCCTTTTTGATTCTCGTTGTGGCTGTGTACTTGGTCCGATGTTCTGGTAACTTGGCTTTGCTTCGTCTCTCCGAGGGCTCCTTGTCCTTCATTCTGGCACTTCGGGCATTGGAACGAATGATTTTCTGCTGCCAATCGATGGTCTTCATTATCGCCTCGAAGTGAATGCTGTGGGTGATGTCCTCGGGGAACGAGAGCACTGGGTGGTAACAGGGATCGACCAGGGCAATTCTCTCGGGCACTGAGAGCAGTTCGAAGGGCTCCTGGGGCTGCATTGGGTCACGTCTGCCTGTGCAAATGGCGCAGGAGGCTAGGGTTCCGTCGCAATCGCAGCGCAGGGTCGAGGGTCTTGCTGCGCGCTTCGAGTACTCGTGCAGGCCCTCGAGCCTCAGCAGCTTTCGCTTTCTGTAGACGTCCCAGAGGAAGGGACGGGTTCGACTCGCTGGCGGGGTCGTTGGACCTTCAGCATCGGTACTGTGGCGGCTCGTGGAGCCTGGCAGGACGCCACTGTAACCGTTCACTGTCTCGGAGTTGTCCAGGTAGGTCAGACCCTTCGCCAGGCGCATCTGGCGCTGCAGCTCGTTGTGCTGGCGAATTTTGTACTCCAGGTCTGATATCTGCGCCTGCAGCCACGTCCATCGGGATGCCACGCCTGCACGATCCTGGGCGTACTTCCAGCCTGCTCTTTTAGATCTGTTTGAGAGAGGACGTGTAGTATGACGGAAATGGAGGAGTTTTTATTTTTGGAGATGAAAATATTGGGCTTTTGGAATGAAAATGGACTCGAACAATTTTTCGATAATTGCGCTGAGTAAACAAGTGGCTTTTGAGAAGTACTTTTTTACTTATATCGAGAAATTCGTGGCTTGAAAATTACCAAGCGCACTATATCTCACAGTAAAAATAAAATCTTACGCCAAGAAATTTTATACTTGTCCGAAGGATGAGGACAATTTCTTCAGATCAAGGAAACGAGTTCTCAGATCAATTAAAGGTTTTTGCTTTAAATATTCTAGAATTGATGAATTAGTTCAATTTTACGTGTTTCAGAAATCGGATTCTTATGACACAAAAGTAGATTTTTTTCTCACCGATAAAAACATGGTATTTTTTTAATGAAAATTTATTCGAGACGACAATTTTTCTTTCTCTCTTTCGTTGGGTTTCTAAAAAATTTGAGCGAGGAATTGCTTTTAAAATTAATGATTATCCTCGGGACGATGAAATGAAAAAAAAGGGAAGTTTAATCGATTTTTGAGGCGACGAAGGCTTCAAACAATTAAAAATGATTATTGAAACTGCTGCATTGGTTAAAAATGAAGAAAAGCTTTTAGTATAATTACGAAGTTAAATATTATCACTGAAGTATCTACTCCTACTTATGAAGCGTTGAATTAGACTTTTAGGTTGAAATATCAGTCTTAAACATTCATGTTAATATTGTACAACGTCGACATTGACGAGGGTGAAAATCGATATCTTGCAGTCGCAGTCCCTCCAACATAGATTCCAAGTTTCATAATGATGTGCAATTACAATCAAACGAACCCGTGACTACTCCAGAATTATGTGAATAATGCATCCAGTTTTAATCAGCCCCTGAGGCTTTCATGTTTTCCTGAATTCAAATTGTAGCAGATTTTCATGATTAATAAGTGCGGAAAAGTGGAGCTGCAAAATGTAGTCAACTTTTTTTCAATATTCACAACTCAGAAAGAAATTTATCACTTGAACTCAGCCTGAACTCATCACGAAGAAGAAGAAAAATTCGATCTCTCCATGGACAACAGACTTATCCAATTCCATTAAAAATTCAATACGCCATTAACATTCCAACAAAATGAATTACGTTTATGAATCGATTAGACGTGAATTATAAGATTTTGGGATACATTATAATTTTTAAGAGCCTGAGCAAGCCTAAATAATCAACGATACGTCGCAAATTGGTAATGAAATAGTATTGTACACTCATCCCATCGAAAAAACGTCAAATGTCCATTTTGCCCCCCCCCCCCGCTGTGACTTGGATTCTCTATATTTTCTGTCAAGGAAAAGTCTAAAGTGTAAAAAATGAATCAAAATATGCAATAATCATCAAACATACAAGACTTATAAAATTGCCCCCTAAACTGTATTCTCATCATCATCTTAAAAAAATCAACCCATTAAAGCTTGCAATTGCGCCTATTCCCCTGCGACGTCGCCTGAACAGTTCACAACGTCATTAAAACGTTGAATATAAATGCGTCATCCGCCCAGAATGGCTCAAAACATTAAAACCAAAAAACAAACGGAATTTCGACAGAAACTAAATACCGAATGTTATCTCCACGTGTAATTGGATCACCTAGCCAAATATTGATCTGTGCGCCCCCAAAAATACCATGACTCCTCTACCCCCCAAATGTCAGTGTAATAACCTCCCAAAAATCAAAAACCTTGTGCCAATAATTGAAATTCTACAAAAGTTTTTGATCTTCTCACCCACTGGGTAAGCAAAAGGGTTAGTGACCGAGTTGCGATGATGATGCAACATTACTGAGAATGAGCAAATCTATTTGCCCACTCTGCGACCACGTGGAAGTAATGAAACATCAGATTCCATTAAGATAAATAAAGAAAACAGTAGAATAAAAAGATTCCATTGTCCATTCATCTCAGTAACAAGTGGTTTGATGGAAAATGTCAAGAGGAATTTCCAGCAAAAAGTGTCTCTCGAGATTTTCTCCTAGATCCATTCGTTATGGAGATAACGACCTATTAAGGATATCCAAATGGTTTGATATTCTTTCTTCAGTGAAAGCTTTTTTATTTTCGTAGTCAAGCTTTCATTTGAGCCCCATTTGACCCCGAGTTTCCGGACATTTTAGTAATTTTATTACTTAATCTTTCGATTTTATGCCTAAAAATCAATCTCAATTATTTATTTATAAACAACACATGTTAAAAAAAAATAATAATTGCGTGCAAAATGTAATTCGAATGACACTGAATATTCACGATTTTTTTCAAATTTTTCTCACGCGATTTAATTAACAAATTTGAATGAAGATGGAATGAAAATGGGTAAATCCACAGTAAAAGATACTCGGATATCCTCAAACAGGATGAAAAATCTATTCTGCTGCATTCAACCCCCTCCCCCTCTAAAAAACTTACATAGGCAATTGTTGTTGATGAAGATTATTATAATTCTGCATCTCATCACAGCTCTCACCGCCACTGCTGGAGGCAGTGCAATCCGAGTCAAGATGTCCCTCCACAGTGTGCAACTGCGTAGCAAGAGATCCAGCAACATTTTCCACTTGTTCACTATTGAGTTTCACATGAGCCGAACTAAAAGGCGAGTGTCTACTCCCCCCAGATGTCCCAGCAATGCCCACATCCCTGGAGCCAGCCCCAAAGTACCTGCAGTAATTCTTCTGCCTGTTGCAGTGTGCAGTAACAGTATTACTCTGTGCAGCACAGGATTTCTCCAGACTCTTGATAAAAGAATTCAAATCCTCAGGTATTTGGGGTAGACTCCTGGGCGTTCCCTTGGCCCCACTGATGTTCTGAATCTCCTGCAGAAAGTACTTCTTAACACTGTGATGAGCGAGCTCGAGTACCCCAGTGCTCTCCTCAGCAATGTGCCTCCCAATGGTTCTGGCCTGGAGTTTCCTCAGTCTCCTCATCAAGAAAGCAGTCCTCCTGTCCTGCTCGAAGCTCTTGTGCTCGACACTCTCCTGCTTGCCCCCCAGGAGGTGCTCCCTCTGGGCCTCCACCGACTCCTCGGCCTCAGGAATACTCAAATGCCCCAGATTAATGCCAATATTATCATTCACCAAGCCCATAACATCGACATCAACGTCATTGAGCAGATCAGGCAGCGACGAGAAGCCCTGCGTCATGTTGAACATTCCAGGTGTCCCAGAGCTCCCACTGCCCCCACCACTGATCTGCTCCCCCTCAATCGACTGTATAACATCGAGTATATCGTCAACATTCTGGGGTATATCACCCACAACATTATCACCAATGTCAGGATTGATCTCCATGATACTGTCGTCAATGACCTTCTCCTCAGCATTGATAATGGGCCCAACAATAGGTACAATATCACCAGTCTTGATAAATCCCATCTCGTCGTTATCACCAACAGATGTCTCGCTCATTATAGCGTCACTAACCTCAGACACTTTGTTATCCTTGTGACAGGGACGTTTAACAACATCCAAGTCAACGTGATGTTTATCAAAATTATCCTCCTCAACTCTGAGTATATCAATGTCCTTTTCAAAATCACTGGATATCAAGTCATCACTGTCAAGTACACAGTGCTTTGTGAGACAATCAATGCCATTATCGTAGTTTGAATTGATAACATCGCGTATTAAATCCTTGGATATGCCGCGCAGGCACTGTTCATCAATTTTTGATGGCTGTACGTTGGCTGTTACCACGAATTTAGCTAGTACAGCGCGATTATTACAGACCTGCGCAGCCTTATCTGGGGATAGAAAACCACCAGATGGTAATGGAAGTATGTCGGAGGGCTTTTGAGGACCACCTTCCGTCAGAGCAGGGGCCATCACTGCCACTGACGTTGACGGTGACACTGCCTCGACATCCAGAGGCAACCAGCTGCAACCTACTGCGCGCCTTTGCTGCTCAGGCGCCCTACTCACTCCCATTCATCCATCACAGGCTCAGCAAGTGTGGGGAAGACCCTGCCGCGTTATGTCCTGGTGATTGTTAGATTTTCCTCCGGTTTTTGCACTTTGCTTCGAATTTTTCGATTATGGCTATCGGTTTGACGAGGCTGGGTGGGTGAGAGACATCGTTGGGCTGGGCTGACTCAGTTGAGCATTTCTGTGGACGGACGAATGACTGGAATTAGTCGTCTGCTTGTGAATTAGCAAAAGAGTTAAAGTATGAGACAGTATTATTGTTCAGTTATGTATGCAGTAACGAAGTGGTAAAGCGGTTTAAGTCGATTTTGACTATTGGCCAGTTTTTAGTGAATATCTCGGAACTTGAGGGAGATAGCTAAATTTTTATCAAGACCTTTTTTGTAGTACTCAATTTTCTCTAGAAAAAAGGTCATTATGAAAATTCTATTATCTCCTTTAGATTAGGAGATATTCTTCAAAAACTCAACTAAGAGATGAGACGACTTAAACCGCTTTACCACTTCACTACTGAATTATTCATAACTCAGAAACTAATTTATTAAGTGAGCTCAGTTTAGGCTCATCATGAAGGGAAGGAACTGTTGTTTGTAGTGAAAAGAAATTATTAAATTTCATCAACATCTCAAGCCGTCGTTAACATTTAAAAAAAGTCAAGGGTCCATTTTACTACAAACTCCTCTATTGTCCAGTTTTCAATGGATATCTTGAAATCTAAGGCAGATAGCAAAATTTTTGTTGTAACCTTTTTCGTAGCTCTCAATTTGCTCTGCAAAAAAGGTCTTCACGAAAATTTTACTGTATCCCCAGATTCGGAGATATTCCTCGAGAACTCAGCTGAGAGCTGAGTCGACTTGAATCGTTTTACTTGAATACTGATTTATATGGATATGTAGAGAACGGAGGGAGAGAAAGGCTGATGCGGATGTAAAATAAAGAAAAACTTTTGTGATATTAAAGAAGAATTAATAAATTGAGTGAAATTATTCGTCGGTTTGGGAGGACTAATGGAGGCGATACGAACCTTAATTTTAAATCGTTTAACTTTGGATCTGGAGAGCGGGATAAACGTTGCGTTGATGGGGAATTTAGAGACTAGTGAAGCTCAGCTGGAGGTGTCCTCGGGTTTATCTGGAGAAGCGTGAAGACGGTGATTAGGTGGACTGCGTTTGGCTGTCGATTTTAAGAGGATTTCATTCACTTCGTTTTGAATATTTCGGTTTGTTGTGGTCGATATAAATTATGAGATTGTTTGAGTGGCTAATGGGGTATATTCTACTGTTTATCCCATATTTTCGAAATAAAAACGTCCCCACGAGTATAAAGACGAGACAAAAATCAGAATTAATGAGCACCTCGAGCCTCTCTCCCAATCCCACGTCACGAAAATCGGTATTCAACATTCCCAGACGATTTCCCCAATTTCTCTTTAAATCCCTCCGCAAAATTTGAATTCCCAAACTCATGAAACGACAACGCAAGAACCGAAAATTTAAAAAATGTAAAATTAAGTATTTTTTATTTTTAATAGCTAGACCTGCCCGGAGAGAAAATCGACGACTTTCCGTAGTCTCAACGCTATGCAAAGGTATCAGGCTTAAAAATGAGAGTGATTTACCCAAATCCTTCACCCGGAAGATGGTCCCAACGCCCTTTAAGGATATCCAAGTTTCTTTTAGTTTGGTGCAGACTTTACTATAGATTCAACCATTTTCCATCATCAAATTTGTTATTTAAAATGCGGAAGAAAAATGTGAAAAAAAATCACGAAAATTCAGTCATTCAAATAACATTCTACAGAAATTTATTATTTTTTAATATTCGTTTTTTATAAATAAATAATTGAAATTGCTTAAACTTTGGGAAGTCTTCTTTTTTCAGATATTAAAATCCATTTCTGGTAAAATTATGAATATAAGCAAATTTGTTACGACTGCAAAAGAATGATTTTTATAGCGGAAAATTGACTGTTTATAAATAATTCAGTAGCGAATTAAAAGGAGATGAATAGGGGAGGGTGGGGTAAAATGGACACTTTGGACGTTTTTTAAATTATTCATAACTCAGAAGCAAATTTATCAATTGAGCTCAGTTTAGGCTGGCCACAAAGGGAAAGAATTGTTCTTTGTATTGAAAAAAAAATTATTAAATATTACCAATATTTCAACCCCTCATTAACAGTTTAAAAAAGTCAAGTGTCCGTTTTACCCCAACCTCCCCTACATTAAAAAAAAATTTGCGTGAATCACATTGAAATATTAATTTTCAAATAACAGTATTATGAATTTCGAAAAAAAATGCACTTATCGCCTTTTACCACTTCGCTACTGAATTTTTATAAATTTCCAAACAATGTCATCAATCTTCCTCCAAAAGTAAACTTTCTAATTTTCTCATCACACTTTTAAAATGTTCAAACAATAAAATAATTATAAAATGTCCGGAAATTTGTGGTCAAATGGGTCTCAATGAACCTCCAAAGTTCGACAACAAAATAAGAAAATCATTCCACTGCAGAAAAAACCCCAAAGTCCTCGGACATCCTCAAAAACCCCACAATCCACTTGTTTATCCCA